AACAAATCATAGAGTTGCCACACAAGCCGTAAGATACCACACAAGCTGTAGAGCCACCACACAAGTCATAGAGATACTATAAATATCGTAGAGATACCATAATCACCGTAGAAACACCATAATCACCGTAGAGACACCACAATCGCCGTAGAAATACCACATAATTACCATATAAACACTACACAAGCCGTAGAGACACCAGAATCACTAAAGAAACACCACACAATCACCAAAGAGACATCACACAATTGCCAAAGAGACACCATAATTGCCGAAGAGATACCACACAATCACCATAGAAACACCAGAATCACCAAAGAGACACCACACAATCGTAAAAGAGACATCATAATTACTAAAGAGACACCACACAATTGCTGTAGAGATACCAAAATCACCAAAGAAACACCACACAATCGCTAAAAAAACACCATAATCACCGAAGAGACACCACACAATTGCTATAGAGACACCAGAATCACCAAAGAGACACACACAATCGCCAAAGAGATACTATAATCACCGAAGAGACACCACACAATTGCCGTAGAGACACCACACAATCACTGTAAAGATATATAAATGCTGTAAAAACACTGTAGAAAGAACTAGAAAAAAGGAGTCAGTAATCAGAAAAAAAAAAAAGTGAAAAAAAGAAACGAAAATAAAAGAAACGAAAATGAAAAAAAAGAAAAAAACGAAACTAATAAAGAAAAAATGAAACTAAAAAAAAAAAATTAAAAGAAAAGAAAAAAAAAAGGAACAAAATAAAGAAAAGAAGAGGAAAGAATAAAAAAGAACACAAAAGAAAGGAAAAAAAGAGGAATAAAATAAAAAAAAAAAGAACAAAATAAAGAAAAGAGAAAAGAACAAAAAAAACACAAAAGAAAGAAAAAAAACAAAAAAAAGAAAAAGAGCAAAAAAAAAGAAAAGAAACGAAAGAAAAAGAACAAAAGAACGAAAGAAAGAAAAAAACAAAGAGAAACAAAGAAAGAAAAAAGAAAAAAAGAAAAACAAAAGAAAAACACAAAAGAAAAAGAAAAAAAGAAGAATGAAAGAAAAAGCACAAAAGAAAAAGAGCAAAAAAGAACAAAAGAAAAGAAGCAAAAAAAAACAAAATGAAATAAAAGAAAAAAGAAGAGAAACAAAATAAAGAAAAAAGAGGAAAAAACGAAAAAAAAACACGAAAGAAAGAAAAAAACAAAAGAAAGAAAAAGAGCAAAAGAAAAGAAGAGGAATAAAAGAAAAAGAACAAAAGAAAAGAAGAACAAAAGAAAGAAAAAGAACAAAAGAAAAGAGAAATGAAAGAAAGAAAAAAAGATAAACAAAAGAAAAAACATGAAAGAAAAAGAAAAAAAGAGGAACAAAAAAAAAAGCACGAAAGAAAAAGAGCGAAAAGAACAAAAGAAAAGCAGCAAAAAAAAAACAAAATAAAACGAAAGAAAAAAGAAACAAAAAGTAAAACGAAAGAAAAAAATAAGCAGAAAAAAGAAATAAGTAAAAGAAAAGAATAAACGAAGGAAAATAAAAAAAAATAAAAAATAAGCAAAAGAAAAACAAAAAAAAGAAATAAACAAAAAGAAGTGAAAGAAAACCAAAATACTTAACTAGATTAGATTGCATCTGACATAATGATTGTCTGATATAATCGTTCTCTGACTTAGTTATATGTTATACAGAAGTTTGTCACCACCAGTGACAAGCACATTTTTTTATTATTTTATACATATTCATTTACTAATTAAATTTCTAGTTTATACAATAGAAAAAAAGATATATTTGATAAAATTCGATTGGTTTTCGAGCTATCTTTCTGATATCAAACATTTTGCTAAAACAATATAGATTATACTAGTTATAAATGTATCAAGAGAACAAAGTATTCATTTGGGTAAAACTTTTTGGAACACTATAATGATTGCACAACTACTTATATATCGAATTTTTGCATAACAACATCTATCTTTATATAATTTTGAGTATATTAAATATAGATGACTTTGAATACATGTGTTATTAGAGCCAAAGACTGATTTTTTAATATGAGTGCGGCTAAGGAAAAACCTCAATCTTGTTTTTATTAAACTTAGCTATGATTCAAAATATATATAGTATATATATTTCGGATCATAGCTGAGTTTAGCAAAAAAACAAAGATCGAGGTTTTTCTTTAGCCACGCTTATATAGTATTATATTTATATAGTTGTCTAAATTATTAAAGAATGTACTTGTCTAAATTATTAAAGAATTTACTACATCAAAAAATTTAATAAAACAAAAAGTTCGATATATGATTTTATATAATCTTCAGAAGTATATATTATTTTAAGTTTAGTAGTATTATTTCGAAATTATATATTTTTTGAAGGTACATGCCTTTATTAATAATGCCAATACTTATAATTTTGCAAAAAGGTAATATTTATTAAGAAGAGATTGTATAATTGGTTAATTCAAACCAGTAAATTTTGAATAAAAAAATAAAATAAATAATTTTGTATTATATATTTAAATTAAAAACTTTATTTAATTTGATATTTTTTATTCCAAAATAACTATGTTCAATATTATATCTTGTTTATACAATATTATCATAATTCTAGTATGGAACGAAACAAAAATATGAATATTAAAAAGTACACGATAATGAAATATGAAATTTATAACGAAATATGAACTATATAATGAAATATGAACTACACAACGAAATGTGAACTACACAACGAAATATAAACTACAAATAAAATATAAACCACACATATAATAAAATACGACTAACAAGTCTAATTTTAACTTCAAATCTACTTATTAACAAACTATTTCTTTATTAATGCAGCAAAAAGAAATACTATTATAAGTAAAGAAGAATCGCAACCTGTATATTTTATATAGTAAGCAAAAAAAAACTGAATTAGTAAAGTTATAAAACAAGAACCTCTTATATGCAATATTCAAATCTTTAGCCAAGTATTTTTTAGTATTGATAAAATAGTTGTTAAACTAAAACATTATAAAGCAATATTACAATTTTAGCCTCTAGTAAAATTTTCTAACTGTTTAGTAAGATTTTGGAAAAGTTTTAGCAATATTATTAATTTTACTTCTATGATCTTCCAATGGTCTTCTAGTAACAATACTGCTATAGAATACTAAATTTAGTACCCTTTAGAATAGTATCCCTCAGATTAATATCCAAGTATATTCAATACTATTATATAAAATTGACTTATACCTGAATATAAAGTAGACTTGCAAGAGACTAATAATGTTTAATAAAAATGAACTCTGTTTAAAGATTGGTTCCAAGTACAAATCAAGTAGATCAGTATTCTTAATTTATGCCTGGGCACTAAACACAGTGCTCTATGGTAGATTGCTAAAAAGTCATGTTGTTCAAAGAAATAAAAGCAAGAAAATTGTGCTATTGGGAAGATCATGGCTGTGAAATTAATCAAAACTTTATATTATAAGGGTTAGTATATTTTAGATTCAAGCAAAGATTTTTTTCGAACTAGAAAGCATTAAGAGCCAAAACTTTGTGATTTAATAGAACCATATTCATGCTATATTTTTGATTTAAAAAGTAATAGTCGAATAGTTTCACAAATTTGGGGTTATTATAGGAAAAACTTTTTGCAAGAGTAAAATTTATATATAAAAATTGAATAATTGACATCCAAATTACTATATTTAGAGGTCACTTAAAGCTATGTATGTCTCATGACATAGAGCCAATAAAATTGTTTGTTTTGATCGACACAGATTAGCTTGACAAAAAAAAAAAGTGAAAAACATCAAAAATATAAAAAACGAGTGTTTAAACCTATCTTGAGGCAGTATTGTACATTTTGACTGTCCAAAAGCTTTTTTGGTACTGTCCAACATCCAAGTATCCAAGTGTCCACAAGTGTTCAGAGCATGTTTAAGCTTTAATAATTAAGAAATTTGTTTAAAAAATATATGATTATATATTTTTTTATATGCTAAACATATTTTATTTAAAAATTAATATAGGTTATCTTAATAAAATTTTGAGTAATTTTATTTTATTTTATTGTTCAAAATTGTCCAAAGTGTCCAAACTTACTGTCCACAACTGTCTCGTGACAACACTACCTTGGGGCATTAATAAAAATGTCGGGAAGGCAATTTTACTATAAAATCTACTCTTACCTTAACCCTACACCAACCCTTACCCTAACTTTAACTAAAAAATCAAAAACATATAACCATACACGGCTTTAAGCAACCTCCATATTTACAACATTTGGGACCCCTGTAAAAGGACATGTCCTGTGACTGATAGACAAAAGGTTGTTTGAGTCAACACAAACATTATTTTTAGCTTCAAAGAGTGCTGTAAAATTAACACTAAAATTAATCTTTTATAATCTTATTTGGAGAAATTAACTCAGAAACAACTTTCTGAAAAAAAGCTTCATAGTTACTAACCGCTTTATCTAGCTTTTTTTTTTTAAGACAAGTTTGTAGCCATGAGATATTCATATTTATATTTAAGACACTCTTGTGTCAATTAAAAGTTGCCAACCATTTAATGTTGTTTAGTCTATATCAAAATGATTTACTAGATCATATCCTTTCCTTAAGCTGAAATTCCAACATTTTTATTTTCACTTACCATCTTCGTGTTTCTTTTCTGATACCAAACATAAAAGTATTATACCTACAAATCACTCTCGTTATAATGAAGTTATCTAGCTGAGAAAAAAAGGTTTACTATAGCTTATTTCGAGAGGATGCCATATTGAATTGAAGTTCAACTTTGAAAAGCAAAAAATATTTTTGATAGTCATCTTTCAATAGAAATATAGAAACATAATTTAAAATTATTTTTATCTTTATATAAACCCTATTAATCTTTGCTATAGATTAACACCCTAGCGTCACCACCCTAAAAATTTCGCTATCGGGCCGAATTAAAATCTAAGATTAGGTGTAACCCTAACGTTGATAACGAAAATTTTTTAGGGTGAGCTTACTATATCTGATTGATTGCCATCGAAATCTCTCTGCTTGTTTCTTTGATATCATTTTGAGAATTTCCATTTTCTTCATTAATAACTTCTTTAGTCGACACGGTAATTTTGCATTCTTTAAGATCTTCACAACTATTATTACCGATACTTCCCTTCTTAATTAAATCACTTTTGCAACAATTCCCATTAAAATCACTACTTCTTGCCCAAAGAATCATTCCTACACCCTCTTTTGCGAATAATATACTTAAAATTAAAGCTACAGCAGAATCTACCCACCAACCATTTTTCCAAACCGTGTAAATTAAACTACCAAAAAATACAATAAGTGTTATTTGAATACAGGATAAAGCGCATTTAGCATCAGATGCCATTGTAAAAGAATTAAGTAATTTAGCGGCATAGACCTTCATAAGCCAAATAAAACTCATAATGAATAAGGAAATAGAAGTAACTATTAAACCTACTACAGTAGAATTTGGCGCTCTATGTTTAACTAAAGCGATGATCGCATTAACAAATGTTCCACTTGCAAGTAGAATAAATAATGAACCTATACAAATGGTTGCTTTTTTTTCAATATTAATTAATTTGATTGTAGATGTTTCTTTAAGACTTTTTTCTCTTGAAAATCTCCATATTACTAAACATGCTGAGGTAACTTCGACGAAAGAATTTATACCGAAAAAAATTAAACTAATGGATTCATTTTCTGCACCAGATAATATTGAAATGGTTCCTTCAATTATATTAAAGCAAATTGTAAAAATTGATATGGTTATTGCTGCTTTAATAAGGGTTGTACGAGAAATTAGTTTAACTTTCGTTGATAATTTCATTTTTTTTTTTTTTTCTTAAAAAAAAAAAAAAAAAGAATAGAATGTGATTTACGATTCAAATTTGTCTAGATAAACTAGATGTTTGTTTAACAATCTATGACCGTATATAATTCCTGCAATTCCTGCCGATTCTTGATTCGATTTCCTGGATTTCCTGAAAGCCACTTTTATCATTTCATCTTTGGGAACAAAATTTGTTTATCTCTAGGAAACTATTATCGATAAAAAAAAAAGAAGACTTTCAGTTACAGTTATTTCCGCATACCGATAGACACATATGTACGTACGTATGTATGCACGCGACAAGAAGATAAACTTAAAACCAGGTGCATTGACCTTAGATCTATTAATATCATGTTATTCAAGGGGATATTATATAAACTTAATCTATAACGGCCCAACCAAATTCGATGCCGTCACTAAGGAATCTATTTGTTCTAAATGAATATTTTTCCAATCAATAAAGAAATTAAGATTATCGAAAATCGATCAAATTGGCAACTAATCGATCTAAAATTTTAACCTCGTTGAGTGATTAACTATTACGTATTCAATAAACTTGATTCAATAAACTTCAGTCAGGGATTTTTCAAACTTGTGTAATGCAGATCATTTATTTTTTTGGTAAAGATCTACAATTCTGTAGTACA